ATAGTATAGTAGCATACATAGTATAGTAGCATACATAGTATAGTAGCATACATATAGTATATAGCATATAGTATAGTATAAAGTATACATATAAGAGTATAGGGATTATACTCTTTACATATTATATACTTGTTGTTTGTGCACAGCGACGTGCGTGCAGTGTAGGTACTTGTGTGTTGCAGAGGAACATTTGAATAGCATTTACAGGAAATTACCGGAAATAATAGGCGAAAAAGAGTAGAGAAACATTGAGACTTTGGTAGTAAATACATTTCGTATTCATTATATTTTTTTAAATACAATAAAGTTGCCTATTTGTGATCGTGGCCAAGCCAACTGCCCTGCGTGCCCCACGCCGTCGCCACCATATCTACACCTTGAAGCAGTAGACCAATTACGAGCAAGAGAGAAGGTTGGTGTCCTACCCGTAGTGAGTAATACACCTTGAATAAAACCCGTGCGATCTATTACGAATGGCCTATCACTCATGTAACGTNTTCCGTTCATAAGCGTATAAACCGCCCCACGCTCACTCATCGCCGTCCATAGCCGTCATAAAACGCACGCTACGTCACTTCATCCGTCCATAAAGCGTATATAAACGCACGTACGCCCACCGTCATCCCGATAGCACGTATAAAACGCGACGTACGATCAACTCATCCCTCCATTTAGCGTAATAAACGGCTACGTACCGTCCACTCATCCCTCCATAGCCGTATAAGACGCACGTGACGCCCACTTCATCCCTCTATTAGCGTCATAAACACGACATCGTACGTTTCCACTCATCCCGGCAACATTAGCGTGTAAACGCACGTACTCCGACTAGATCCCTCGCAGTAGCGTATAAACGCACGTACGTCCACTCATCCCGGTCTATAGCGCTATAAAGCATCGGGTAGCGCGGTCCACTCAGTCGCCTCCATAGGCACGTATAAAACGCACGGTACGCCAGCTATCGCCCTTCATAGCGTATAAACGTCGGTACGTACGTCCAGTCATCCCTCCATAGCGTATAAACGCACAACGTATCGTCCGACTCATCCCTTCTGATAACGACCTCATAAAACGCACGCACTCGTTCACTCGTCCACTCATCCCTCTATAGCGTATAAACGCACGTACGTCCACTCATCCCGCCATAGCGTATAAACGCACATTTTATCATCACGTAATCACGCGAACTGTCTCTCCAGAGAGGTATCCTATCGGGGAAGGTTATTGAAAAGCTGCAGTTGCTGGCGCGTGGTACATGCGATGATGAGAGTGCGTGTTTCCTTGACGCTGCGTGTTTGCTTCGGTTACACTGCAATGCTTGCTTTATAAACACGCGGCAGTTGTGAGAAAGCCGCAGCAGATTGATCATGATGCTTTTAGATTCACTCCCCTAGCCACGGACTAACCATTAGTCTGAAGTCGAGCTACTATAAAGCGTCTGCCATTAATGCGGACTCTAATGCGAACGTTATCCGCATACTCTAATGCATGGATAGTTCGTCTGAAAGGACTGCATCAGTGAGACTAGTAGATGATGTTATGCTGAAAGTTTACGTGTGTTCTCTCGCCGCAGGGTGGCTACGTTTACTCTCGCGCCGGCAACGCGACCGTCGATGCGGTACAGAGCGCCGTCAACGCACTCGAGGAGGGCGCTGGCAGCATTGTTTTCTCCAGCGGATCGTCGGCCATCTTCTCAATGTTCCTGGCTTTCCTTCGCGACGGCGATCACGTTGTACGTACGCCAGGTGTCGCTCGCGTCGCGGCGCGTTGCCCTTGCTGTTTGCTCCTTCTGCTTATCCTGGAACGTCGCCAATCATCGGGTGTCATCGAGATTGCCAAATAGGTCGCGGTGGTATAGATAGTATATCGGGCGCTCCTCAACCCCATACTTGTTCATGAGTTTAACAGCCGTGTGTCAACAAAAATAAGCAACAATATGATATGCATTGCAGATAAATTAGTCTCCCAGAACCTAAGCAGGCTTTTACACTATTTTCTCATATGCCGTGATATAGTTCAGTTATAAAATTTAAAATAATTATAAATAATTTAGCAGCATTATAAGATTCGACAGAAACGCATTGATTGTCATGTGTGTGCGTGTGTGCGTGTGCGCGTGCGTGCGTGCGTGCGTGTGGGCATTTGTGTGTGTGTGTGTGTGCGTGCGTGTGTGCGTGCGTGCGTGCGTGCGTGCGTGCGTGCGTGCGTGCTGCGTGTGTGTGTGTGTGTGTAGGTGAGATGTCAATTGCTATAAACTTGCACTCAGATATGTTGCCATATTGCAACCGATTGCTTCATCCGTATTTACTCGGTGGTTTTATATCGAATTGTATATTCGAGGGTGGCCATGCCGTCACCAAGACTGTGGCTTAATAAAAAAAATTGGAAGGACCGAGAATTATGCAAAAAGGAAGAAAAAGATTAGGAGGAAATTCATCGACGATCACTGTTATAACAAAACCCGTTCATCGGAAAGTGAACATACTTGCTGTAGAAGTTATGACGTAAAGAAAACCGGGCATGCATGCGTTCATAGACGTTCTGGGAATTTGATGAACTTGGAAAACGCTTGGTTTTGGAAACGCCATGCACATTTGTTGATGATGCAGGTGGCGTGCCATGGTTATTCTGGAACCTACTTCATGTTAAAGAATTATATACCACGATGCGGTATTGAAGTAACATTCGTACAAGGAGATAGCGTGGATTCCTACACGGAGGCAATAAAACCAAACACCAAGGTGAGTGATGCGGGGAATGCATGTGCTTTGTGACGGAGGTACACCGCACGCACGTCGCTGCACATTTACGCTTATATATATAGTGTAAATGTGCACTATATATATATATATATATATATATATATATATATA